TACATCTGACTTTTGCCTTCTTATTAAAAAAATCAGACACTTTTTCCGCTCTGTATTGTGCTTGTGGTCGGCGTAGAAAAGTTCAATAGAAGTAGTGTAGAAGACACTCCTAGTTGTGTCTAATTGGTTCGATTAAAAATCCCATAAAAAATCAAAGAGAGCCTAAATCTTTAATAAGTTAATTCATTTCCTTTTATACCAATAATTTATTTCCCAAAACGAAAATGTTAAAAATTAAAAATTTATTTTTAATTGAACTGTTAAATGATTTCATTTATTTATTATTATTATTTTTTCATGTGTGACGTTTCCTATCACTTAAAAAATAATATCTGCCCTAGCTAGTTGTGATCGATGTATTTATAAATGACTCACTACTTACGCTCATCCTTCATCACTAAAAATGATTTTTTTATAAAGGATGTAAAATTCAAGATGGGATTGAAATATAATGAAATAGAATAATTGTATTTTTTTAATATTTTATTATAAAAAATTATATTATTATTTATTATTTATTTTAAAAAGAGCTTTATATATTAATATAATTATTAAATTATATAAAATATTAATTAAAATTAATTTAATTATAATAAATTAATATTTTTACAAAATATTGTAAGAAAAACGTTGAGAGAGAACAATCCTATACTCTACCTTACTCAAATATTTGTGATAGATGGTGATGAAGGGAATTTCGGTCACTACTTCTAGAAGTATTTATTTATGATTATTTTTTGAACATATTCCTTATAGAGAGGGAGAATTTTTTGCAAGTGGTTGGTTGAAATTGAACTTTCAATCAATTCAATTCAACTACTAAAATTTAAAAATGAACTATTAAACCTCAAAATCTGGTTCCATTTCTATAAGTATTTAGTATCAAAACAAAAGGTAATTTGGTATCTAATAACACATTATTACAGTACATTTACTTCATTTATTGTTCTTTACTAATGGCTATGTTATTTGTCATCCGCTGACTGAAAATGGGTGGTTCTAATTTTCTATACTGCAAAGATTCCTAGTAAACAGTGAGATGGCAGTACGTGTACGTACTGAATGAACCAGTTTGTCAAGTCTTTCAAGTAATCGTGCAAAACCATAACATTTTCTACTCCAGAAAGCTCTAGATCTTTTTGTTGGTCAAACAGAAAAAGAAGCTCCATCAATATACATGGCCAATGGGTGCGTGCTTGGTTAATTTGCGCGTCCGATTCTCTTTAATTCACTTCCACACCACAGCTTAATCATATTTATTATGAATAAGGGATGATCAACAAATAGCACAACTTGTCTTCCATTCCTTTTGACCAACAGCAAAGGATTGCACTTTATTCTCATCAGTCTACTATGTGCCCTTTCTCTCATTGACTCAGATCACTTTTCATGTAATTTTTTTCAAGAAATTTTGACTAATTACCATAAGTGGTGGGATAATTTCAAGAATTAGGTTTATCTAGAAGCAAATATCGTTTTATAAATTAATTAGTTTCATGATTCAAATCCTAAAGACACAATATTAAAAAAAATTTAATGCATTAAATTGATATAAAAATATACTATTAAAATTATCTAAAATGAATTAGTTTTAGAACAGTGATTAGTACACATTTCGATTCAACACATTGTATGAAATTATTATTTTTTAGTCTAAAATTAAAGACAGATAAATTTAATAATATAATCATACACACAGGATACAAGAATCAATTAAATTAATTATATTTATATTATATTTTTAATAATTAAACAAAAAATATATTAAAAAATATATTGAACGATGATACACCAATCATTTTTGTTAGTTTTAATTCGTGTACAAGGTGAAAAAACAAATGGTTGAACATTAATGTCGTACGTCGCTCCAACGGAAAATAACGCTTTCTGCAACACCAGTACTAGTAGGCCAAGAAATTTTGCATTTTTTTGGTTTTCGTCCGGTATTCGAGGCTTCACCCTGACTAATTCGGACCCGATCCGCGTCGCGCACTTGAAAATAATGGGTGAATCTCCCAGAAAATTTGCATTAAGCTCTATATAGGCCTACAAAATTTGGAAATAAGTTTCTACTTAGGCCTATTTAACCTTAAATATGGATGTATACTTTTATTTTAAAGCCAAAGAAATATTTTATGCACTCTTCTTTTTGTTTTGAAGTTTTTTATGTATTTTTCCTTAATAAATCTATACATCAATTTTATACATTCAATAAAATTTATTTTTTTGGTATCAATTTCAAGATTTGAATTATAAATTTTATTTATAAAATGACAATTGTTTATCAACAAATCCAATATTTAGGGTAAATCAGGTGTTAGTTTTTTCTTTTTATATATTGAGAAATTGGAAATTTTATAAATCACATGTTTGTTAAAGATTGAAATTCGTTCTCTTAATTGTAAATTGCAGTAGGAAAAAAAAGAGTAAAATTGGGTTGAAGTTTGTGACCTTATTTTAGTTTTTTTAAGAACTGGGTGGATCATTTTAAATTTCGTAACTTGGGCCTTATGCGGAGAAATGTGAAGCCCGTTTGGATTAGAGATTGGCCTACTCCGTCTTCATCATTTTTCCGTTCGACAGTTTTTCCAGATCTGAGTTTTATTGGATTTTCAATTTTGTATTTTTGATTGAATAGAGTTTGGTTAGGACTAGCCCCAATTAAATTCTTTAAAAAATGATTAACTGTTTATTTAGTATGGTTGTAATTTTTTTATTTTAATTTTTATAAATTTTATAAATCAAAACAAAAAAACTTGTTTAGTTGCATGGGTTTATGCAACATATTATTATAATTATTAAACAAATAAGAAAAAAATTAATTTAAATACTATTAAACAAGTTTATGTTTTTAGTTGTCAATATTAAAACTTGTTTTAAATAAATTGTTAGTTTTTTAGTTTTTTTTTTTTTTGCTTTCAGTAATTACAAAATTAATTAAGACTAAAATCAAAAACTAAAAATCACAATCATACTAATATATTGAGGCCCTCTTTAGTATGGCTATAGTTTTTTATTTTAGCAGTACTATAGACACAATGGCATATAGATTATAAGTTTACAATTATAATATATCATTAAATGAGTAGATATACATTAAATTACGGGTGAGCCCTTAAGTGTAAAGAATTAATCATATACTAACATATCATAATTGCATATAAACTTACAATAAATTTTACAACTATTGAAGACCAAAACTAAAAATCAAAAATTAATAATTTATTTAAAATTTTTTTTAACACTAACAACTAAAATTATAAATTCATACAAGATTGATTGAAAGGTGGTGAATATGCTAACAACATTTTTGTATAACATGTAGGGATTGAAGTACCCATCGTACTCTAAATAATAAAATTTTTGATTGATCTATATATGTATAACTCTATGAATGGAAATTGCAAAAAAAAAAAAAAAATTCTATATGATAATTCTTGTCATTTTGAGAAAAATAATCATACATCTTGTATTGAGTTAAAGAAATAAAATGAGTGTAATATAACTTTATCTCACTCATTAGAGGCATCTAATAGTCTATAATTTTCATATGATCCAATATATTTCTTAAAATACAAAGTAACTCGAAAAATAGAATAAACTAAAAAAGATAATTAAACAAATATATATAAACACCTAATTATCCCTTGCCTCTTGGGCATTAATTACATTACCATAGCACACCTAATGCCATAACAACTTGTAGCCAAATAAGGAACCTTAGCTTGAAATCATCGCATCCCTTGTAGATAGATTCATGATCCATTTTTAACATCTATCCAAAGCCAAGAATTCGAGATGCCCTCTGGCATCCCAACATTAAAAGGTTCAAAATAAAAAATTACTATTTTACTCACAAAATCAAAAGGTTGTAGCAAGACTTCATCTGTCACATCACAAAACAAAATAAACCCCCACCATCAAAGGAATGACATTGTGTTAAGTACAATAAAAAAACCCTATTCGCAGAGATATAAAGCTGCATCATAAGGCGGCATAAAGCCTCACTACTATGGGAATGAAACCGCATCAAAAGGCAGGATAAACCCTCACAAAGGAGGGATGGAGTAGCTTGTATATAAAAGAATGGACAAAAAGTAGTAAGAAACTCCGTTGTTGCATAGACAAAGCCATCTGTTAGCGTGTGAGATCAAGTCTTTAATGTGGCAGTTACATTTAGTTTATTTTACTTAGTGGTGTAGTAGTTTCTTTTTAGTTTGTAACTTTTTTTTATTTCAGCAACTGTTATGTATAACTTTCTTTTTCTTTAAAACTGCTAAGTATGTCCATTGCTATTTTTTGAAAGTATATCAGATACTGTTCATGTATTTCAACAGTGTTCTATGTATTTCATAATTTCTCAAGTTAATCCTTGAGTTTATGTTCAATTTATGTTGTGTTTCACTTGAGTTTTCATCTTTACATCATCACCATCCATTCGGCAAGGCTTCTTTTCTTGCGGACAACGACTTTGGTTTTAACCCTTTTTTAGCCTAACTTTATATGATAGTTCTTGTTGAGTAGAGTCATTTGATAAAAAAAAAAATTTAAATTAAATTTCATACATTATATAAAGGGTTTCATTTTCTATTTTGTAGTTGAGACTGTATCAAATTATAAAATATGAACTCTTAAATAGGA